TTCAGTGACTACAGTCCTTTCTTTCCATCTTAGAGTGATCTTGGACAAAGAAAATATCCCAGCAGATGTGAATGATGACAAGGCATCCTGCCCAGGGTTGGTGCTGCAGCAAGCAGTGACCACATGGAACCCCAGGGGTGGGAGTTGGGACTGCAGCAGCTGCATTGAAATTATTTAAGGAAGCCAAAAAGGTCTCAGGTGATTTACTAGTAAGGGATTATTGCTAGTATCCCTCTAGGCTGCATGTTGAGAGCATCTGTGTCTACATTAGCACTAGCAAGAGATATTTGACTCAGTAGGAGCAGCTGGTTTTCTTTAACCTGAGAGGTCCTGCACTCGGCTCTGGAGCAAGCCAAACAGCTCCATACCACTTACACATCTTCATAGGAAATTAAAGGTCCAAGCATCCTTTAGAGAGTAATTTCTAGCCTGAAACATGGTAGGGGTTTATTCTGTATCCATCCATTTACCATTACTGACTTTTACTGCTGAACAGACAAGGAGTTTCATTACTGACTTTTACTGCTGAACAGACGAGAGGTTCGGATTTTTAACCACATGCGAGGTCAGGTCTGCATAAACACAGGTGGCAAAGTCCATCATGCTGGGGGAAAAGGAGGGTAAAGCTGTTCATGCCTATCATCCTAGTTCTCATTCTCCTCTCTTTCAGAGTCTAAATATACCAAACGGCTTTGGGGCATCTAGAAAAAGAAGAGAAAATGCAAAACACAATTTAATAGTATCATTCAAAGCAAAGATTTTTGCTTGGCCCCTGTTTTAGATCAAATATCACATGCACCAGCAAGTGATCTATATTTCATACCATCTTTAAAGACACTCAGATCTGGAGAGAATTAGCTGCCATCAGAATCAGGAAGAACAGACACTGTGAAGTTTTCATTAGACATTTTAAAAAAAAAATTCAAAAAGAAAGACATATAGACACAGCCTGGGAATATGAAACTCAGATTATAACACTGTAAGCGACCTTGCTAAAGACAGTTAACATCTTACGTTGTAGATCTTTTGAGGATGAATGGGTGTAAAATTGTGTACAAACAATAACTACTATCATTACTCTTTTTTTAGTTTGCTTTTCTGTGTATAGGATCAGAGAGTAGCAACGGATGTAGGTAAAAATTGTAAAGGGTCTATAGTCTGAAACATAAAACTACTGTTATGAAATTGAAAATAGCATCACCTAGGCATATACCAGGAAGGACATGTTAATTATCATCAGAAAATACCTTTTTACATGAGAAACTAGGTGGAATCTTGTTCCAAATCTGCCTGGTTCTTCAGGCATCATTTATACAAGTCACTGTGGCCTCATTTTGTTTCCCAAGCCTTAGGCTTAGTTCAGGATCTTAGCCATTCATGTGTCCTTCTTTCATTACAGTGGTCCTGGAGGACTTGGGATACTGATTAACTTCCCTGAAGTTTCCACGAGACACCAGAAGGCAGTTAGATCCCTGGTCTGGAGGCCTCTGGCAGATGCTGAAAGTCATGTTGACAGCGCTGGGTCTCTCCATTCTCCCACACAGCAGGCGCCATCTGTAAATGGGATGAGACTATATTTTTCCCCATATTATTTCTGTCTTCCTTACTGAGACTGAATCATAGAATCATCAAGGTTGGTGGAGACCTCTAAGATCATTGAGTCCAACCATTAACCTGCCACTCTGCTGTAACCTCTAAACCCTAAACCAGATCCTCCAGCATCAGATCCAGAGGCCTCTTAAACAGTTCCAGGGATGGTGACTCCACCATCTCCCTGGGCAACCTATTCCAGTGCCTGAACACCCTAACACTGAAAAAAAATTTCCTAACACCTAATCTGAATCTCCCCTATCTCAGTCTATGACCATTGCCTCTAGTCCTCTCGCTGCAGGCATGGCAGAAGAGACTATCCCCACCTCTCTACAACAATTTGGAGATGGAAGGGACCCACAAAGATCATCGAGTCCAACTCTTAGCCCTGCCAGGACACTGCTGGAACAACCCTGCTTAGCACAACAGGAACTTTCTGTCTCTTAGAGTGTTTGACAAAGACAACATAAGGGGGAATGCTTTAAACTGAAAGAGAGTGGGTTTAGGTTTAATATTAGGAAGAAATTCTTTACAGTGAGAGTAGTGAGGCACTGGCACAGGGTGCCTAGAAAAACTGTGGGTGCCTCATCTCTGGAAGTGTTCAAGGCCAGGTTGAGTGGGGCTTTGAGCAACCTGGTGTAGTGGAAGGTGTCCCTGCTCATGGCAGGGAGTTTAGAACTAGATGATCTTTAAGGTCCCTTCCAATCCAAACCATACTATGATTCTGTGATTCTCTGAGAACTGTCTTAGAGAAGGGCCCCATTTTCCCAAGTGCTGTGGTGCTAGGTTTTGTGTGCTATAAAACCAGCAAAGGCAAACCCCTTGCTTAGATAGAGAACAATCTGCCTTTGGAAGGAAAGGAACAGGCAAAATGACCTCAAAACAATTCAGCATCTGTGATTTCCTCGATTCCATCTGAAAGCTCCCTCTCTATTTTGCTGACATATGAGCTGGGTGCCCTATTGTACATCAGTGTAAAAAATAGCCGTTATCTGCTGTTTCATGGGAGATACGGCAGAACATGATTTATTTGTGCTTGCTCTGCTGCCTCTTTTGAAATGTTGCCGTCGTTCGGTGCACTTTCTGCAGGGGAAGGCAGATGGTCATCGCAAAGTTTCCCATAACCTTGCTGTGCGTGCTGCATAGTGAATCAATGAAACCTGAATTGCAGTGCATTGTCTGGTTTGGAACTGTGCTGCTAAAGCTTCCTGCAGTGACTGCACACATTTGAATGTCAGCACTGCATATGCACTGAGAAAATATGATATTTCTCCCTAAAATTTCAAAGCGGTGCCAAAGGGCATTTTTAACTGCAAAGTTGCATCCGATGTGAGCTGGGACTGCATTGCTCAAACCTTAATTACCAGCTTGGAAATGTGCGTTTTGTGAGCATGTGAGTGTTAGGTGTGACCTCTCTTTAGAAAAAGTAGAAATAATCAATCCAGATAAGATTCTAACATCAAATGCTGGGTACAAGGACTTTTTGCTGTATGCACAGCACCAGCTGCCCCTCTGTGCTAGCTGTTTCTGCATGCATGACATTTGCAATGAGGCTTCATGTGATCCAAGAAGCTGGCATTAGACAGCAATTCACCTTTTGTGTCATTCTGTGCCAGCATGCCTTGCCAGAAGCCGTTATTTCGGTGGGAAGTAACAACTGGGAATAGGGAAAAAAATGGACTTCTGAAAAGCACATTGTCTCATGCCCAGGGCTGTGGCAGGCAAATGCTGGAAACAGTGTGAGCTCCTGCCATGAAAGCAGGCATAGGCAGAAATTTCTCAGTGGGAGGATTACCTCCTTTACATACCTGATTGAAGGCAAGGTGAGTACATAAAACATTTTTAGCACCGTCTCCCAATTTCTGATGTTTATTTGCTCTATGAGCAGACATGCTGGAAGACATCTATGTTTCATAAAGCCTTGCTTCATTGATTTTTCCTTAGGATGGGAATCATTACTACAAACTAGTCTGGCAATTTCAGATAATGACCTGCATGCAGCACAGGTGCTTCTAGAAGTGGTTAATGCTGGATGTAATAGATGTTAAAATGTCTCCCCCAAATGGTTTTGGCCTTTTGCAGATGAATTCTTCCATGTGTGTGGGTAGGGCAGATCCTCTCCCAAAATCAAGCTGTCGGCTCACTCCAATACTGTGTCTGAGCAAAGAGTGTTATGTGAACTCACTGCTGCAAGATGTTTTAGACTTTAACTGTGTGGATAATTTTATGTTTTTATTAAATATAAAAGGAAATAAATCTGAAAACTTATAATCCAATTTAAATTGGGGGAAAAGCAAAATGTTATTTGGTATGCAAGAGATGTTTAATCCCTGGGTCTTTTGATCAAAGAGATTACTTGTACTGGGACATTTTTATCCATTGAGTCTTCTTCCTCAGTTTGCAGCTGGGTTTGATCTTCTAAATTCACACAAGCTTCCCTTGTCTAGGAAGGGGCACATACAGCTATCATAGAAAACTAGAATAACCAGTGGCTTAAGGACAAGGACCTTCTTTACAGGACCTTTCTTACTAAGCCCTTCTTATATTAAAAAAAACCCCAAAAATCCAAACATTTAAATGGGACCACATGACTCTACAACAAAAAAATCTGGTCTTTTAAATAGACAGGTGGTGATCCTGAGTGTACCTGATGTGTTCTTTACTGATTGTCATTGAGATTTTATGTCCTAGCATACACCAAAATAGGCCAGACCAAAGTAAGATTTATACTGTTGAAATATGAAAAAAACTAAATCCTGGCTAAATCGAGGGGTAAGATAGATTTTTTTCTCTGTGTCACTGACATAAATCCATGAAATCTCAACTAAAAAATTTCAAAAGTCTGATTTTCATTATATTTTTCTAGAGTCAGGGTAGCTATGAAACTTTGCTGACCTGTCTTCATTTACATCTGTGTACTGAGGAACTGGGCTTCATTTCCTGTACATTTAAAACTTTTGAAAACCATTTCCAAAGTGTCAAGCAATCACAAATCTTCCCAAAATTGATCTTCATCTCAAATGTTTCAAAGTAATTGCAGATTTATTGCTGTCCATCATAGATGGGCATGGGAAAGCGATCCTCTCCTGCAGGATGAGGAGCTTGCATACAACCTTTAAGTCTCTGAACATCTGGGAACATCTGTGACCACAATGAATATCTGAGCAGTCCCTGAACTGCAGCACAGAATTGCAAATGAGTCTATAATGAGCAAGAAACAGAGTTGTGACAGGGAGCAGGGATGGGTCTCAAAGCCTACTGAAGAGAATGGCACAGCTCCTGTTGAATGCAGTGGCCCTTGGGCAGAGCTCTCAGCATATCTGTGAGAGGAAGGTAAAGTCAAACTGCATCACTGTATCACATCTTACACATGATAACCACATGCTGATCTTTTTTGCTTTCTCTCCCAGGATGGAAGGAGCAGTTTTATTGGCCACCAGCTCGGAGGGGTCATGGAAGTGCCAAACAGCAAGGACCAGAGAGTCAAATCAGCCAGAGCCATCCAAATCACTTACTACCTCCAAACGTATGGCTCGGTCACCCAGGACCTCATTGGGGAGAAGTGGGAGAGTGAATTCTGTAAATTGATGCACAAGATGCAGCTGGATCACCAAGATCTTCAGCTCTACTCACTAGCGTCTTTTAGTCTCTGGAAGGACTTCCACCAGACCAGTCTCTTGGCCAGGGGCAAGATTTTGGTGAGCCTGATGCTGATTCTCCTGACTGCTACCCTCTCAAGCTCCATGAAGGACTGCCTGCGTAGCAAACCTTTCCTGGGACTCCTGGGAGTACTCACTATCTGTATTTCCAGTGTCACTGCGGCAGGGATATTTTTCATTACTGATGGAAAATATAATTCTACTCTGTTGGGAATCCCTTTCTTCGCTATGGGTAATTATTTATCTTCATAATAATAGGATTAACAGAGTTTAATGACAGGATTGTAAATTACATCCTGGGTTATAAAGTGCAGATTTTACCTTGAGTGAAATTCTAAGTCATTTTCATCTTGTTAAACTGATCTGTGCCTTGCCAAAAAAAAAAAAAAAAAAAAAAAAAAGGAGAAAAAAGGAAAGAAAACAAAGCAGTAGCAACAATAAAGAGCAAATGACATTGCTGGAATCTCAGCCAATATGAGAGAGGGGCAGTTTTATTGATCTCTGTTACAAAATGAAGGAGAAATTGTTATTGAAAACTAGTCAGCTCAGCAGACAAAATGGATATGTGCTGACCCGACTTTGATGTGAGGACGGCTGAAAGAGTAAGTTAAATAGGAGGGTGCTAAGGAAGGGCAGATTTTAGCATCCTTCCTGAGGAGGCCTTTTCTTCCATCTCTGCCTGAGGGGCAAAGGGAAATGGTCGGTGAATGAATAAGATTGATGGACTTTATCTCAGAGAGGAGATTACTGTTGTGGTGTTTGCCAGGCTGTGAGCACAAGGGCCTGTCAGGATCTGTAGCATGTAATCCCTTGGTTTGTGAAGTCCCAGATCAGCTGCAGAGATTTCCTTTGCATCACACCTGGGCAGGGGAAGATGCAGGCGAAGAACAAACATAAAACCTAGCCCTTTAGGCAGAAGAATTTTTTTGTTCCTTCTGTTCTGTTACAGTTCCAAATACTTTCTGTGTGTCTATGTGTTTGATGAGTTTGTTGGGAAGGTATGTTTGGAAGGCAGAGGGAAAGGTGCCCAGCACAGTTGCTGAGGCAGTGTTGTTCTCTGCCCTTACACCCAAGTTTGTTGGAGTTTCACCATATGCCGAGTCTGAACCCCAGTGGTGACTCTATGCAAAGTCTCAGCAGTGGCAGCCCAGACCCAAACACTTTCATGTTGGCGTTTTGATGCCAGGGAATATTACCTGTGGCCAGAGCTCTGCGTCTTAAGAGCTAATTTCTTAAATTGCATGGTAGTATTTAAGCCCAAGTCCTGTGCTAGTTGAGGGGTAACAGAATGTGCAAAGCCACAAGCAACAGTCAAGGTTTAGAGAAGTGTCTTCTATTTTTCTTAAAAACCTCAGCCTCCCAAAAAATACATTTTCTTGACCTTCCCCTCAGGAAAAGTTCGGGGGTGTACACACTCTCAACTCCTATTTCATCTATTCCCTAATAATGTATCTGTGTCACTAACCAAAGGGGCTGAGCTGTGGCCTCATCAGTCCTGCTCCCAGCATTTCTGGAGCATCTGCCTGAGGTGAGAAG